TTATTTGATGCCAACTTTTTGGCTAGGACCTATTCCCATGACTCACTCTACATTTGGATACATATATTCCAGTGAAGTACACTCAGGTCACAGATTTTGCAGTTTCATCTTCAATCACTTCCTTCTGTCTTTCCATTACTGTTGTACAAGTCATTCTGCCATGCACATAGACCACTCTTCAACTATGAAAGAGTAACAAGGCAAATTTAGATATGCTGCAGAGGCTGTCCCACTTGTTAGTTGAGGGCTCCCATCTATAAGGATAACTTACTACTCTATTCTCCAGTGTTCAGCAAATGCCATCAGGTGAAAATGCATCAGCACATTTCATACAGAACATTGAGACTAAGCTACAATCAACCCATTCATCACAGTCATGGAGACATAAACTTCATTATGTTAGCTTTCCTTTAAAAGATGTCTTCTAAAAGTAATTAAGTTAATGAAAATAATGTGATATATAAGACAAAACAATGAAAAGTGCTGATAAATTAAAAGCTTAGCTTCCCTCTGGCCTACTACGTACATCTCTGTACCTGATACAGTGAAAATTCGTTCTAGCCCTCTCTGATTGTAACTGCCTGTTCTGTTCTCTGGTACTGTCCACACACTAAACAAAGACTTTTTTTCTTTATAAATCACCTTAGTTTAGGTCTTTCAGAGCCTCAGAGGTTCTTGTCCTATTGAAGAGTCGTGATCATCTTTTGTGTTTTGTTAGAAATATTTTTACGTGACAATTCACTTTCCTACGATCTATGTACCTATCAGAGTAGAGAAATTCCTACACTTAAGGAATATTTTTCATTTAATTAAACTAGTTTCAACAGGCAAAGAAATATAACCTAAACCTGACATCTGATGTCATTAACAGATTTTTCCTCGATCTGTTCCTGTAGGGTATTAGCATTTAAAGAAGGATGGAAGCTAGATATGGTGGTTCACACCTGTAATCCCATCACTCAGGAGGCAGGAGAATCATGAGTTCAAGGCTAACAAGACCCTGCCTCAAAAACACACTTACAAAATACATGCATATATTCAGATTGGGAGCAAAACTCGTGGTACAGTGTTTCCCTGGCAAGTGTGAGGCCCTGGGTTCAATACCCAGTAATGAAAAGAAAAAAAAAAAAAGGATGGATGGAGGGTTTTGAATTAAAGCTATCAATCTGTATTTATCTCCTCCCCCTCCAGAGTACTCACAAAATTATAGTAATAAAATTTATTAAAGCTATAAATCCACAGTGACAAAGAGAATTAGTGAGAGGTTTTCAATGAGGTAGAGAAGTCATCAAACTTCTGGAAGACTAAACAGAAGACAGTAACAGATAAAACCTGGCAGAGGAGCCAAGTATCAGGAGCCATGACCATTAAGATGAGCGACAGCTGTAAAGAGGAACCCAGCGGAGTCTGGCACTGTGAAAGTCCAAGGGACGGCGAAGAATGGAAGTTAAAGAAAGGCTGCAAACATACGCATTAATTGAAAGAAGACTCAATGTCACCTTACCCTGACATGTAATGAATTCAGCAACAGGCAAAATTTGAGGACTTACTTCTTTGTTTATCACAACTAATGCTAAATTCCCTGAAAAAAGAATCTTTAATTCTGTTTAAATAGCATAGTAAGATCCAGATTGTACTCCAACCACTTAAAGCAAAGCAAACCATGTGAAAAGACATGCCTACTAAATGTCTCATTAGGAGGCAATATTATATTCTTAAATATGAATATACAGCCAAAATTCACCAGATAGTTGAGAAAACCTCTAATTAAAAGAGGCAGACATGATCTATCAAAAATAGATCATGTAAGATACAAATAAGAACTTATCTCAAAAACAGTGTAGAAATCAGTGTTATATCCAATGGAAATATAACTGAAATGAGCATGCCCTATGAGCTGAACAATTTTACTTAGCCACAGTAATACCATATTATTGATTTTCAACTTTTAAGATCAATCTATATACCAAACACTAAAAAACTTAAATGAATCACAATGTAAATGCTATTATCTCAACAGCACAGGACTGGGGATTTGGTTCAGCAGTAGAGCACTTGTGTAGTGTGTGCAAGGCCCTGAGTTTGATCCCCAGCACCACCCACATGCACACACACAAATAAAAAAAGGAGTACAGTCAACAGTTAAGAGGTTCTTCAATAAGTTCAACATTGAATTACCACATGACCAAGCAATTCTAGGTACACAGCCAAAAATTTTTAAAATGTGTGTTCAAACAAAAAACTTGTACACAACTGTTCATTGCAGCAAAATTCACAAATGGAAACAAGCCAAATGTCTCCTGACAGATAAGAGAGAAACAAAAGTGACATATTCATATAATGGCACATTACTCAACCCAAAAAGTAATGGAGCAGTGCTACGACATTAATAAACCTTAAAAACATTATACTAAGCACAACAAACCAAACCCAAAACGACTACTACTCTATGATTCCCTTTATATAAAAATAACACAATAGGAAATCTTTAAGTAGAAAGCAAATGGGTAGTTGCCAAGTCCTGGGAAGAAGGGACAGTGAATATCTGCTCATGAGCAGAGGGTTTCCACTTAGCTTGATGAAAAAGCACAACATTCTGAATGCACACAATGTTACCAAACTATATACTTTAAAATGGTATCTTTTTATTATGTGTAAATTTTCCTGTGATAAACATGCAAAAAGCCCATAAAACAAAAGTAGGAAAGTAGAAGTGACAGAGGGAACTCGAAGAGAAGTAGAGAAGTAGATAAAGTAGATAGATGATCAACAAGTTATCACTGTTGTATGAAACAAGAAATAAATTTATTACTGTATTGTTCAATCAAAAGTAAAAGAATTAACTATTGTAATTGATTATAATGATTAATATACTAGAGTAAGAGGATTGTAGTAGAGTAGAAGGATGAAACTGAGGTTAAGCCTAATTTATCATAGCAGGAATAAATAGGCAATGTTCCAAACTGATGTTAAAAACAGAAATGAAAGCACATTATTCAGTGACAAAGGGTTTGACTATCAGAAGAAGCAGCTTTTTTAAAATTTAGAAGTGGTTGGATCTGGAACCTAGTACTTAAAACTGTCATTATTGCTAAAAGAAGGAACTGAAGAAGGCATCCAAGAAAAAACTCAATTAATAGACCAGAAAACTAAGCAGGAGTACTAAGCTATAGGTGTGAGCTGCTTTTCTCCAGATTTTGACTCTGCTTCTTGGTAGCACTTGGATAGATTTTCTATGAAGGCGGAACCATACCATATTAAAATTCTCAAAGCCTGGTGTTTGTGCTTGGTACACTTCTGAAGGGACCGAGCAGGGATTAGTCAGTCCACACTGCCTTGCTCTTCTTTTGGCCTATCCCTAGGCCATGCTGCCCCACTAGCCATGGTCGTACCTACTCTGCTAGAAACACACACCTGCTTAGCAGAAGGAAACCACCAACGCTTCCTTTTCAAAAGAGCTTGCTCAGAATTATACATCCACAAGTTTATGAGAAGGGTTAATCAGAGAGAACATTCAAGGCAAAAAATGTAATACACTAAATTCTTAGGGTCAATCCCCTGTAAATGGTCCCCAACTTCAGTGCATTAAGCTGTAAGAAGTGTTTCTCCTCCATCATGGCCAACAGAGAAAGTGACTTTTTATCCTTTTTTTTCTCCTTAGACCCGTAACAGAGAGGTGGTCCTTGCCAGTAGAAAAAGAAACCTGTGAGGCCAATCCAAAGAACAGGACATTCAAAGAAACAGATTATTTCTTCTGAGGGCCTGTATTAGAGGCAGCTTCTACTATCTGCTTGTAGATTAAGTTATAGGCCTCCTAAAAGTCACAGGCTAGTCTTACATAGAATTATAGGTGGGAAGAGTTCAGGGAGAACACTCACAGAAGAAAGAGAATTATTACTTTCCCTTCTCCTACTGAGACCATCACTGTCTGCATACCAATTCAGTTATGACCTAGGTCACTTTGTAGTTCTTCCTCAGGAATTACTCTGGGGTGTGTGTGTGTGTGTGTGTGTGTGTGTGTGTGTGTGTGTCTGTGAGAGAGAGAGAGAGAGACAGAGAGAGAGACAAAGAGAGACAAAGTCAGAGAAAGAAAGAGAATGAGAAAGAACTGGCATAGAAAATGGCAGCAGCCGGCATTGGGATCTTGCTACAAGGTTCACTTGGTGACAAACACCAGACTGCCTATTAGAAAAGATAATCATTTACCCTACACTCAAAGAACTCTCAACAGGTGATGCATCAGTCTGCTAAACCTTTACATGGGCAAAGCCTTTTACTCTTTAAAATAAAAACGCCACAAAATTGGTAAAGAGTTTTCATACCTTCGTACATGCAAAAGTGTCTTCCACCTCCCCTCTTTTCTTTTATGTCTCTGCTCCGTTCTCTAATTGCATTTGATCTGGCCAGATGGGTCAATCAAGATTTTTTAAAAATCTAAATATTCAATTAGTCTACATGTCAAAGAAGTTGTGAGGAGAAATACATAAATACTGTGTTAATAACTTTGACATCAGAAACAAATGCTTTGAGTTTTAAAAGAAATGAATTTCTCTGGGAAAAGTCAGGGAAATTCTGTGAGGGGAAAAAAGATCACATTTCTTCAGTGGCTTACAGAGTCAGCTAAAACGTTTCACGTGTGAAGAGGGAGCATTAAAGACTTTAGAAAGTCACTCCACCCTACTCCCCTACATCCTAGAAATTTGCTACTGCAAATTGCTACCTTATTAATGGTGTAGAAACTATGGAGTTGAGTTATTATTTTCAATTACTTTTCTAGGAATTTTCTATCCCCACAATAATCATTAGAAGATGACATTTGTTTATCTTCATTTCACAGATGAGAACACTGAGATTCAGTAATAAAGCCAAGATTGAGTACAGATTTTAAAAATCCTGAGGCTTTCCCTCTAATACTGTTGTGATACATAAGAGGATCAGATACAGACACTTAATGTTGGCTGTGCATAGCAAAAGCATTTTCTCCTTTGTTTCAACCCTAGACAAGTGTTGATGCTCCGTGTTTAGGTATCCTGGCAGCAGAGCTTTCTCTTTTGTGTTCCCATAAGGATTCCTTAATCGCACAACAAGCATCCTTGGGACTGTATCACCTCCTTTGCATTGCAAAATGTCAAAATGGTAAGAATGGCTCAACATCTTTTCTAAAGATTACTATGAATCTGTTGGTAATTGTTTTACTTGTGAGTCTTAGGAAGACTCTGTGTCTATGAAATTCTTAATCCTGCTCCAAGATCTATAGCTTCACCTTATAAAATGTGTGTTTAAGAATCACTTTAGTGTTGTCAAGAAATTCTTGTAATACTACAGTAAGTTCTTCAAGATTTATAAAGTACTGTGCTCAGGTTAGTATTAGGTATTAGTGGTGGGGATAGGAATGCCAAGGAGAGCCAGGGAGGGAGGAGAAGAAGAATTACCAACAGGACTTTTAAAAGGAAGCATACTTTCCCCTCTAACAGAGTATCAACTAGAATACTCAGAAGATTCTTTGTATTGGAGAAAACCCAGCCCAAGACTAAAATTAATGTTGAGATAGCTGGCCTAATACAGCACCAATAACAAGACATGAAAATACCAAATTATTTCCAATCAACTGCACCTCAGAACAAAGTTTGAAAATACTCATAGCATCCTCTGCTTCTGTCCAGGATATAATATCGAAGGATAGAGTTATCTAATGAAAAACAATATACACATGTGTGTATGAATAATATGTACATATATATGTGTACACGCATATGTGTGTGTATATATATATATATATATATAAAACAATTCATTGAACATCAGCTAGTGAGACAATGAATCCCAAGAAATGGGAAAATGAGAAGAAATTTAAAATGTTCCATAATTGCCTGAATGTATTACCTAGAGTAAGTTTCTGCACTGAAGTTGAAGAGATGAAATTGGGAGTCCAAGAGAGCCAAACTAGCTAGCATTCACAGGGAAGAGTACCAGAAAGAAGTGCACAAAAAGATAACTCCAGAGATCTTCAGACACCAACAGAGAACCTCCTTTAGGTTTCTGGTTAAATACTGATGAGAGCATGCATTCAAGGAAACTACTTGAGGCTGGAGGAAGGGGGCACCAAATTTACTAAAAACAAAACAAAACAAAACAAAAGAATACTGAACTCTCAAAAGCTATTGATAGTGCCAGGGGCTATAAGCCAGAATTTAAAACCTCATAGTTCATAAGCAGTGAAGTAGGGGTTTTGTCTCATCCGAAGAAAGAAAATTATCCTTAGATTGTACTGTTTTAATGTTACTTTATAAGACTCAAAAGCAAGATCTAGAAGGATCAGTCTATTTCCAAATACTTAAATTGCTCAAGCTTAATTCTAAGAATACAAAAATTCCAGCATTCAAAAAGTAAAAATTAACAATTTCTGACACCAAACAAAAAATTGTCAGTGGAGCCATGTATACACGCTTGCAATACCAGCACTTGGAAGGCTGAGGCAGAAAGATCATGAGTTTGGGCCAGCCAGGGTAATGTATGGCACACAAGGCCAACTTAAGCTACACAGTGAGTTTAAAATCAATCCGGACTACATAGCAAGATCCTCTCTCAAGAAACATACAAAGAAGCCGGGCACAAGTGGCTCAAGCCAATAATACTAGCTACTCAGGAGCCAGAAATCAGGAGGATCGCAGTTCAAAGCCAGTCCAGGCAAATAGTTCACAAGATGCTAGCTTGAAAAACCCTTTACACACAAAAAAGTAGGGCTGGTGGAGTGACTCAAGGTGAAGGCCCAGAGTTCAAGCCCCAGTACCACAAAAAAGAAAGAAAGAAATCAGGCACACACGAAGAAGCAGGAAAATATAGCCATAAAGTAAGACAAGGCAATCAAAATGGATCCAGAAATGTTACAGATATTAGAATTAGTAGAGCGGGATATTTAAAAACAACTATGATAACTACATTTCATTTGTTTAATGAATTAAAGGAATAAAGAAACATGGTGAACACAGACATAGAAAAAATTTTATAGCATCCATACTATCTCAGCTCTCAGGAGATAGATGCAGGAGGATCATAAATTTGAAGTCAGACTGGGCTACATAGTGAGCCCTGTTAGGAAGGAAGGAAGGAAGAAAGGAAGGGAAGGATGGAGGGAGGAAAGGAGGGAGAAGAAAATACACCAGAACTCAACCACCACCCATTCCTGTATAATCTTTCATTAAAAAAAAACAAAGGGCCACAAGGAATTGAAACCACCCACCAGACACAACCCCATAAGCATAAATCTCAACACAGAAACATGAAGCAGCAAGGTAACAGTTTTCCCTTAATGGCCAACTCTACTACTAAGGATCTAAATAATAGGGAAGCGAAGGAAATAGCAAATTTTGAATTCCAAAAAATAATAGTAGGAATGACTAAAGAGCTCAAAGAAGAGGCACAAAAACTAATGTATGAACTCAAAGATGATATGAATAAACCACTAAAAGAGCTCAAAGAGAATTCAAACAGATGAATGAAATTAAGAAGACTATGCAGGTATGAAAGAGGAAATAAATAAATACAGAAATCCTGAAAAATAATCAATCTGAAATGAACAGTTCAATATCCCAAACAAAAATCTCAATCAAAAGCTTGGTAAACAGAGTGGAGTAAATTGAAAATAGAGTATCATGAATATAAGACAAAGTTGAGAAATTAGATCAGTCAAAGAATATGAAAAAAACACTAAAAAATATGAATGGAATATGCAATAAGTCTGGGGCAACATTAAAAGAACAAATTTATGAATTATGAGTACAGAAGGAGAAGAGATACAAAACTAAAGGCACAGATAACCTATTCAATAAAATAATAGCTGAAAAATTCCCCAACCTTGAGAAAGAAAGGGACAGGAGGTCTACAGAACACCAAACCATCAGGGCCAGAAAAGAAACACCCCCAAATATATCATAATCAAAACACTCAACATACAGAACAAAAAGTATACTGAAAGCTGCAAAAGAGAAAAATCAAGTTGCATATAAAGCCAAACCCACTAGAATAACAGTAGATTTCTCAACACAAACTCTAAACACAGGAAGGTCATGGAAAGATATATTTCAGGACCCAAACACATGATGGAGAAAAGACAGCCTCTTCAACAAACATTGCTGGGAAAATTGGATTTCCACATGTACAAAAGTCAAACTAGATCCCTGTCTCTCACCCTGTATCAAAATCAACTTAAAGTGGATCAAAAACATTAATATAAGGTCTGAAACTTTGAAACTACAGGAAGTAGTGGGATATACCGGAACAGATAAGCATAGGGGATGAGTTCTTAAACAGAACTCAAAAGGCTCAGTATCTAAGAGAAAGAATGAATAAATGGGACTGCATTAAACTAAAAATTCTGTACCACAAGAAAAACAATCACTAGACTCAAGAGACAGCCCACAGAATGGGAGAAATCTTTGCCAGCTATTTCATCCAATAAAGGACTAATATCCAGAATCTACAGAAAACTCAAAAACTCAACCCACAAAGAATCAACATCCCAATGAAGAAATGGGCACATGAATTAAACAGGGAATTGTCAAAGGAAAAGGTACAAATGGCCAATAAATACATGAAGAAGTGTTTGACTTCCCTGGCTATAAGATATATGCAAATCAGAACTATACTCCAAGTAGAATGCCATCTTCAAGGGCAAAAACAACAACAAATGTTGACAAGGATGCAGTGAAACAGGAATGCAAAATTAGTACAACCATTAAGGAAAAGCAATATGGACATTCCTCAAAAAACTAAAGATAGAACTGTCATATTATCCCGTGATACCACTCCTGGGCATTTACCCAAAGGAATGTAAGTCAGGATGAAATAGAGACACTTGTACACTGATGTTTATCACAGCACTATTCACAATTGCCAAGCTATGGAAACAACACAGATGCTCCAAAACTGATGAATGGATCAAGAAAATGTGATATATATAATGGAGTTTTATTCAGCCATAAAGAAGAATGACACCATGTGGTTTGAAGGTAAATGGATGCAATTGGAGGACATCCTTCTTTTTTTACTGTGGAAATGTATTCATGAATAAATACACATATAAACATTGCTAACTTATGCACTTTAAATGTTATATGTCAATTAAATTTCTATGTGGCTATTAAACAAACAAACAAAATTCTTTAACACCAATCTTCCCTGTAACTCAAGATGTCTGTACCTGAAGCTTTTACTGAGAACTTCTGGCTTTCCTGGTCCACCATTTCTTAGCTTTTCTTGAACTTTGCTCTCTGACCAATGAGCCCTACAACTTAGCATAACTTTCTGTGCACTGAACCATCCATTTGATGGCTTAAATGTATTTGATATCTGGTCAATATACTAAAATTATTTCTGTCCTTCATTCATATTTAACTTGGCCTCTTTTAAATATAAATTCTGGGTCAGTGCCATCATAATATTTTATGTAACTAAACTATATATCAGAGTTAAATATTTAGAATATGTTAGCTCTCCAAAATTAGATAGGAAAAGGAAATTGGAAACAGTAATGCCAAATAAAATAAAAACCTGAAACTCTTTTCTTCAATACAGCAGCCATTGTAATCACTACAACTATGAAGAATTTTAGGCATGGAAGTCATAACTTCATGACTTTCTCTGAAAGAGACTCACTACCAAACACCTTACATCAAGACAAAGTGAAACTCACTCAGGTATCTTGGGCCTCATTTTATCCTATGACTTTTGTTTTATATGTATTATTACTCTTAGTGGCAACTTATTTCAACAAAGTTTAGGTTTTTCACAAATATTTTCCATTTTTTAATGAATTTTAGTAAGGAAAGGGGTAAATGATTTATAGAGCACTTTGGTTCTCTGAATTTCACCCCTATTAATAAGAATTATTAATTCAGCAAATCATATTTATATTATTTAATGTAATAAAATGCAAACAAGATAGGCATTTTCTAGTTCCACTTTTTGTTTGACTTGAAAACATTTCAGTAAAAGAGGTGAACTTCTTAGCCACCAACTCCTGTAATTCCAGCATTGAGAAGGCTGAGGCAGGAGGATTTTGAATTGTAGGCTAGCCTGGGCTGTAGAGTGAGACCCTGTTTGAACAAAACATGGGGAGAACATCTAGCTATTTAACAAAATTAATGGAGTCACCATTTTTAAATACTATCACAAATATGAGAATGGGATTATGACTGATTTTGTTTAAAAGAGCTATTTAATGAAAAGATTAAAAGTTTACATGCTAAGCCTCAGTACTAAGTAATTTTCACTCTACCCTAATTCTTGGGAAAACCACAAGGGTCTATAGCTTTACATCCTTCTTCAAAGTATATAGGTTTGGCTATAAGCTAGAGAAGCCACCCAGAGCTGAAGCTCAAGTTGGGTGTCAAGTGAATGGACTTCTAGTCATCCACACTGAGCTAATAACACAGTAAAACTGCCAGGAGGTGCCTAAAGCTAGCTCATCTCTTGGGGTTAGAAAGTCTGGGGTTCTTCCCCAAACTGTGCTGCTTCTCCTCTGTGGCTGAAGTGGCTGGAATTGTGGGAGGCTGAGGATATGATGAAGCAATGCATTCAACATTGTATGGTCAAGATACTCATAGTTGTCTTAAATATGTATATGCATGATGGTGCATCTTCAAAGTCAAGGCTTTTTCTTACCCACCACCTGGCAAAAATCATAAGTCTCGTTGACTATGAAGTTGGGCATTTACATGAAGAAACCAAGTATCTATGTAGGTTTGCTAGCAAACACTTCTTCATCCATCCATCCTTCCCTCCGGTGTAGTACCCTGTAGTTAAAAATCCTGAGTGCTTCAATTAGAATACTGAGTGTGGGACTGGTTGCCTCCTCAGGTCCTTTTTCAAATGATTCATGAGACTTACAATCCCTCACATTGGTGTCTTCTCTTGTATGAATTCAGTGTCTAAGAGGCATAGAAATCCTGCCCTGTGTGCCAGTGTATATGAAGAGTTATGCAGTTTCCATTTGTGAGATCAAAGCAAGTTTAGTGCTGACAGTGTATGTAGGAATAGTAGCTGGACAATCCAGAGGTAGGGACTTCCAGCAGTAGATACAATAGGTGGGTTGGGGGAACCCGGGTTTCCAATGGGAGGACCAATAGGTGGGTTGATAAAATCAAAAGTTGTAGCAATGAGCATGTAACAACATGACCTAATAGTGAGAAACAGGAGATGAAGGTGCTCTCTGGAGACCAGCTGATTATAAAGTTGGTATAGTCCTGGAGACGTATATACAGATCATAATTGCTAAAACAAACTCTGTCCTTTGATGCAATCTTTTGTCATATCTGCACGTCCACATGACAGAAACTTCTAATATAGGTCTGAGCTTCACTGATAATTGTTTCATCTACAACTTTTAGACAGAAGTTTTTGTTGAGTAAACAAATATTCAAAAGAGAATATTTCCCTTTCAAATGATTTTTAAAATTTTATTCTCTTAAATTAAATCTGGCTTTCAAATAGGGAAAACTATAATATTCAGCCTACTTCACCAAGACTTGACTATCCTCCTTTGGTTTTCTTCCATAGCTTTCTAAAATTACCAACCCTTACCCCTCTGCCCAGTGGAAGTGGAGCCCAGGACATCTTTGTCGCTGAGTCCTCAGTTCTGCACTATTGACCAAAAAGAGCAATATTCCATCCCTTTAAGGAGGATGTACGAATGTTTTCATTAATGAAATTGTGCACCTTCCGAACATAGAAGATTGACTTTTTTCACGTAAAGGCAAAAGGAGTACATGTGGCTCATTCATTCATATATTGCCATAATCAAGCAATTTTGTTCAAATTTTATGGTCTGCGAATATTCTTCTAACTTTAAAAAGGGATTGCTTCCATCGTTGTTCTTATACCTCAGTCATGGACATACAGAAATCCTTTCCCTCCCTGCATTTTTACCTGTCTCTGGGAAAGAGAGTCATTTTGTCTTTCTCATCACATCCCCTCCTGAAATTTCTACTTGCTATGCTTGTTTCTGATCTGAGCAAACTCACTTACAAAGCTGAAGAAGTTCACAATAATACTTCACAGTAGAATTGTTTTAAAATCAGAAGAAAAATTCAATATAACTATTCTTGTATTACAGACATCTTTATACTAATAACTATTGTAAATATGTATTTTTATTATTTTAATAGAAGAAAGTAATTTAATGGCTCATGGAAGTCATCTGCTCCTGTCTGGTGCTTGAGCTTCCCCTGGTATGTCTGAGTCTAGCTGTCTATTTTATGCTAATGCAGGTGAGACCTGAGTTCACAACTCTACTCTTGGTTTCAGAGTGTAGGACAAATCTTACTGCCCTCCTTGCTAACTGACTTTGTGTGGAGTCTCCTGAAGAAGCTCTCTGAACCTGATTATACAACAGCATCTGAGGCAGCAGCCATACTGAACCTGACTCTAGAATATTATGCCCAGAAGGTCACCATGGTAAGATATTGGAAAATAAGTGGAGGAAAATACAGTGTATTCTCTAAAATGTACTTGCTTACTCTGTTATATGAATACTTCTTTTCATACATGTGTCTTGCCACTGTTCTTATGACACTTTTAAAAAATGAGGCTTTTGTCAAATAGTTCAAGCATACAGAAAATTTTAGAAAATGTTATAATAAATATTTACTCACCAATTATGTTAAATAAGGATATTTTGCTGTATTTTTTAAAAAGAAACATATTAATGGTAATAACATAGTATAGTTAGAATTGAAATCCCCTATGTAGCCATTAAAGACAGTTTTTGAGGACTTTCAGCTTGGTGTAGGACTGACTACATCATTGGTAGGATCTTGTACAAAATGAAATATGGAACAATGTCTCCACAACATAGAAAAAGTGTCATTCAATGTTTAAGCATATGACTTTTCTTACCTTTTCTATATAGTCTCCCTCTCTCAATTTATTCATGATTTTTAATTTACTATTCAATGTCTTTATGACTAAAAAGAACAATTAAATTTAATTATCACCACAAATGTTGCTATTCATCTTTGTGTTGTGTAATGCCAGCTATAAATGTAAAGATAGGAACATTTAACTCATATGCAAAGTCACTAAAATAATTCAATTTGCATTTTATAATTCATACATATCTCATAATATATGTATTTCATTCTTACCTGAATGAAATTCATTTTACAGCTTATATGTGTTTCATAGCATATGTATTTCATTCTTTTTTTTGTTTTTTTTTTTTTTGTTTTTTTATATTCTTTATTTTTCTTTTATTATTCATATGTGCATACAAGGCTTGGGTCATTTCTCCCCCCTGCCCCCACCCCCTCCCTTACCACCCACTCCGCCCCCTCCCTCTCCCCCCCACCCCCTCAATACCCAGCAGAAACTATTTTGCCCTTATCTATAATTTTGTTGTAGAGAGAGTATAAGCAATAATAGGAAGGAACAAGGGTTTTTGCTGGTTGAGATAAGGATAGCTATACAGGGCATTGACTCACTTTAATTTCCTATGCCGTGTGTGTTACCTTCTAGGTTAATTCTTTTTGATCTAACCTTTTCTCTAGTTCCTGGTTCCCTTTTCCTATATCATTCTTACTTAAATAGTTGAAACTGTATAAAACTAACTCAGCTGTTTTTACTTCTCCCCTTGTCATTCATATATTCTACTAATGTTATCTACCTTCAGTTTATTGATGGGTAAGGAAAGGCTGATAAGATTTGTGTTTCTGTTTTAGTCTGTTTGGGCTTGCTATAACAGAATGCCTGAGACTTGCATAGTTTATAATACTAACTGCAGAGAAACTGAATAAAAATGGGGTTCATCAACTTAAATTACACCCCACCTGAGCTCCCACATGTCATTAAACTGCAAATTACAGCAGATTCCTGTCTTAAACAGGGTTTGCTTCTAAAGCCAGGCTTTTTATTGTTGCTATTTATTTTGTTTTTTGTGGTACTGGAGTTTGAATGTGTGGTTTCTAAGCAAGCACTCTACCTCTTGAAATATGCCTTCAGCCCCTACAGTCAGCTTTAAGGAAAAATTGTGCATAGTTTAAATTATCCCTGAAAATTCCCTAAATTGTACATATAATATATAGGCTTACAATCTCTAAGTAAATCTAACACATCATCTCTTTCTTGGGGATTAAATATATCCTCATTCCTATTCTTGAGCACGAAGTGACCTATCTGGCTTGTTTTAGAGGTATATGCTGCATTTTAAAGAGCAGAACAACAAGAAAAGGCAGCCCTAAACCTTATAATGAAGAGACCCCAGAGAAGAAAAATGGCTTAATGTCTTGTTTTGGGCTCACCTTGGGGAATATGTGGTACAGGGATGACCTGCACTATTTGAAATTCATTTATTTCTCAGTATTGTTTCCTTGACTGAAGACAAATTCCAGGTCCAGCTAGAACTCCAGCTGAGTTCCTAGAACCTAGAGTTCTAGGAACCTAGAGTAAAAAAAAGGATAAAAAATAAAACTAACATGTTACCTATGTGTCTGCAAGATTATATATGGCTTAGTGTTTTATCATCCTGGGTAATTCCGCATATTCCCATTTTGGTCCTTCAATATGTAGACTCAAGTCTTTAATTTTCAGAAAATAATTTTGAACTATAAATGTTTTCACTGTTAGTTTGTTCAATTGCCTTTCTTCCTTAAAGACTTGAAATGTGTGTGTGTGTGTGTGTGTTGTTCATTACTGAGCTTATATGTCTTTTTTAATGAAGTTTAGCCTCCCCAAACACATTATTTTGAAAAATGGGTATTTTCTGAACATCCATAAATTCATGGCTTTATTCCTCATTTCAATAAATATTTTGCATGGTAGTCACACATGTCAATACACTTTCTGCTACCGTGTATTTATGTATTAATTGCTACTTTGGTCATTCCACGAAAGATTAAGTGCTTACATTCAACAAATGTCTTGGTTTTTAAAAGTGACCATGGACCAAGAAACTTACTGACCTATAGTATTTCTCTTCCAGGTGTCTAAGATTGTAGATTCTATTTATAAGCAACTATGTGAAAATTCTTCTCACATCATGAAACAGGCTATGTTGCGGGTCATCACCTTGTTGACATGCGCTTCACCCAGGAAGGTCATTTTTCAACTCATGGACTACCCAGTCCCAGCAGACAAGTAAGGCTTCCCCACGCCCTGCACTTTCTGCTTGGTTTGTTCACAGGCACCACAGCCAGATGGATGGCCTCAAATTTATCATAGTCAGGTCTGATTTTTTTTCTGAAAGAGACCTATTTTTGTGTCATATACAATGATTGAAAGGCTTAGATAAAATCACACATGACATTTAAACTTTGTACAATGCTTGGCATATAATAAGCCCTCAAGAAATGATCAATGTCAATATTATTGATCTGAGACTTTAAATTGTGTTCTGCTATATATCCTATAGAAACAAACTCTCTTCAAAGTGATAATGGATTTTTTTTTGCTCATTTGTGAATTTACTAATTTTTCTTAAGGAAAAATTCAAACTTATAGTGTCTTCCTTATTTAAGAATGACAAATAGATATTTCTATCTACCAATAAAATAAAGAATCATTAAAATTGCCAATAAAATTGAGAGTCTCTTGTTCCTTGACTATAAATCTGACTGTAATGATCCAGGATCATAAGATACACTTAAGAAGAAAAAGTGCTAATGTGAACCTATGGAGCAATATGACTCTTACTAGGTTAATTACAAGAGCTTAGAAATAACCCATCACTCCATTTCCACAGTTTATACACTGAGAAAGAAGGTGTGGTTTCTCTACTACTAACAGTGCAAAAAATAGGAAGCTACATTATGGAAAGGACTCAGGCTTTGAAAACAAGCAAATCTGGATTCCATCCCAACCTTGACCATTACACTTTGTGTGGTATCACACAAGTTAATAAAACTCCCTACTACTCAACTTCCTCATCTATGAAAATGACAAAATTTCTTTCTCTATATAGAGTTGTCTATGGGTTAGTGAGTCACTGTGAAAGGGCACTGAAACCATCAAGGTTCTAAACAACTTACACAATTTTCTTTTTCCAACTGAAAGATTGTTTATTTAGGAAGCTTAAACTCATAAAGTATTTTACTATTTATAAAATTCCTGGGGGTTGGCTGGTGGCTCAGTGGAAGAGTGCCTGCCTGGCAAGCATGAGGCCCTGAGTTCAAACCCCAGTGCCTCAAAAAAAAAAATAATAAAATAAAATAAAATTCATGGAAAGACTTTCATGAGCTTAGTGTTTACTCATTCAGGAATGGAGCACCAATATGTAAAGTATTACCAGCCCTCAAGCCTTGAAGAAAGGGACTATACCCGTGTGGACACAGGACAATAGTTGCCGTGAATCTACTACAAACAATACATGCTGAAAAGTACAGAAAGCAGGCACATTTAGAGTTAGAGAACTTAAAAAAGTTTCCAGTAGGTCTTACATGATTGTAGATGAGCACTGGGGTAAAAAAGGCCAGGATTTGGAGTAAAATTAAACTGGAGAAATGTATAGAGGATCTGATCAACATGAAGGTAGGAACAGCAGGTAAGAAAATGTGACAAAGTACATGAGATTTTACATCCTTGTTGTTGTCAGCCTGAGCTCTACAGATAGAAGCAATTGGTAATAGGTTCTATAGAACTGGGTATATCCATGTTCTGAGATACTAGGCCAGCACATGTTAGGAGGCTAAATGCAGGAAGACTTAGTGATAGACTTCAGAAACCAGTATAGATGGACAAGCATCAAGAATACATTGTCACAGAGATACAAGAAAAGTTTTTTTAATAATTTTTTTTAGGATATATTCATTATACAGGGGAGATTCATAGTGACAATTTCAATTAGACTTACATTGTACATTAGTTATATTTCAACACCCTCTCCACCCCACTTAAAGCAATTGAAAGAGGTTTCTTAATTCTATTTCATATAGGTATATGAAGTCCATCTACTATATAGCATCACCTTAATCTCTTCATTCCCCCTCCCCTTCCTACTAATAACCCCTCCCACATACACACTTTACTTATTTTACAGTCCTGGTTTTTGCTATTAATGTTTAAGTTGATGTTCAAAGGGGTATCTCATTGTATGCCTACTGTAGATATACTTTACTTTGCTCCATTCAACCCCTTCCATTACTCTCCCTTAACTTTTACCTCCCACCCCCCATTTTTTGACAACTTTCAATACACATCCTTATAACACTTTCCCATCTTATGTTATGCAATTTTACTGATGCTCTGTCATTCTCTTTTCCTTTTCCTCTTTCTCCAAGTTCCATAGAATGGTTCCACTATTACAAACATGTTCTATATCTGAGTTTGTATATGATCATGCTTGGTTTTGTGTATATGCTTATGTTTTGGATCTATCATCCACATACGAGAGAAAACATGTGGCCTTTGTGTTTCTGAGCCTGACTTACTTCACTTAACATAACTGCATCCATTTACCTTCAAACAACATGGCATTATTCCCGATGGCTGAGTAATACTCCATTGTGTATATATGCCATATTTTCTGATCCATTCATTAGTTGTAGGGCACCTAGGCTGTTTGCAAAGCTTGGCTATTGTGAATAGTGCTCCATTGAACATTGGTGTCCAGGTGTCTCTATTGTATCCTGTCTTAAGTTCCTTTGGGTAGATGGCCAGGAGCAGTATCACCAGATTTAAGATGAACAGTGGTAAGAATAATCATGCAGAGTGGCCAGGTGTGTAGGGAAAAGAGCTAGAGCATTAGAAGTCAAGAGAGAAGGCTTTCATAAGTTTGCAGCCCTTTGTGTTTACAGCACTCTGAAACTGATGTGGGAAGCAGCGGGCTCTGAAGCAAGTGTTGCCCCTTATGTGCTGAAGACCATCTTGTTGATACTGAAAGGAAAGCCTGGGGAGATGGAGGAGACCACGTTGGAAAAAAGGCAGTTCTCTCTAGATGCCACCAACATGATGCCTGTGGCGGTAAATAACACAAGGACTGTTTCCTGTCAGTGTTGCTTCCCTGATCTTAACACCCTGATCTGTGCAGGCTTAGTACACTTCCTTGACACAGTGTTCTTTCATACATCCATGCATCCAACACATATTTATTGTGCGAATGCTAGGAGGCCAAAGATCTGAGTGAACTGAGCAAGGGCAAAAGTGTAGAAGACGATACCAAGGAGGAAGCCAACAACCAAACCATATAGACCTCATTAGCCATTTGGAGACTTAATTTCACTTGTGTCCATCATTTTGTGTCCCCAATTACTGGGAGTAAATTTGGGTCTTACAGAAAAATAATAGAAAAATGGCACTGCTTTATAAATGTTAGGCATTGGCATGTATATTTCTGATGTTGTGGGCATTGCAGGGATCAGTATGCCAAACGATCTGGGGGTGACCTGGCCTGCCTCTCCTAACTAACCCCTTTCCCTGGATTTAAGCACAGAGAGGACCTGAGTTATTAGTAGAACCATTCTTCATGGCTACATATGAAGGGAACTTTGGAATGTATGCCCTCCTCTAGGACTAGCTTGCTTCCCACTGGTCTACCAGCTGAGGGGGAAAAGGGTTAATAGTCCTTTAGAAGCCTCTTACCAAGGAATGCTTGGCATATTTCTTTGTTCCCAATCTACTTAGTAGCTGTTACTGAATGAGAAAATGCACGTGTCTGACTCAGGCTTTCCTTCAATGAGGTTGATTGCAGGGGTTGCAGAGTCCTACCCTTCCCGCCCTCAGTAAAACTGACTGGGTTTGGGGGGAAGTGGTCACCATTTTATCTCCCTTTTTTTCCCTTATAGGCATCCCAGGCCTTGTGCATATTTCTGTCTGTGAGTTCTTATAAGAAAGCTGTCGCCCAGTTTTTTCCCCAGCTCCTGATGGCCCTCATGCTTCAACTCTTCTACAGCAGTCAGCTGAGAGTGCTGCCCGGGGACAGCCCTCTGTGAGTCAGTGCTGGCTATTTCAGATTAAATAAGAGACACACGTTCAACTACCCCCTTGGGTTCATATGGGATTCATTATAATCCTGAGTGCAGTGCATTCATTCAGTAGTTTTCTCTGCTCCAAAGAGTAAAATGTGTACAGAAAAGCAACTATCCTGAGTACCTGACCATTAGCTAGGACCTTCCCTGAGTGAGCACATAAAGAACCACCACCACAGAATGCTTTCTTCCGCTATACTCACTGTTAGATCAATGAGAGGGAGGGGGAACCCAAGGAGCATTAGATCTCAACCAGACACATTCAAGCTCTGCCATTTACTCATTCTCTGGTAGTTCCTTCACAGAGTCATTGCACATATTAAAAAAAAGTGAGCAAATGTGCATTGTGCATTGGAAAGCTGTTTCATGGTTGAGGATGGAATGTGTGTGGGCTTATGACCACAGTCCTCTGCCTAGAGAAAGGGTTGGTGTTTCCTTTTTGCTTAAGAGAGTACAATTGGCTTTGCTGCCCTACAAGAAAATCTCAACTCAACTGTCAGCTATTTTCCTTGTCTGGTATGGATGTCTAAGTCAGGAAGAGGTCTAAAACATGATCAGTCCCATTAAAATAATTCAGTCCCTATCCTTTAAGCAGATATATACCAAATCACTCCAAGTGATTTATTTATGGCACCTATCAAAGAAAATTGACACTTTTAGCTGGTTATTACATTGCTATTCATTTCTTGCAAACAAGCTAATAGACTAGTGAGCTGTTCTGTAATTCACTCTAGATTTTATGTGCTATAATTTTAATTTAGCCTCCCATCCCATGTTCTGATAATCAGGGGAAGATGAAAAGCATTTAGCAATATTCTTCCTCTGAAGTATCCCTTCCTCAAAATTTGTATCCTGCCCAAGATAGAATGGAAAAGCAGGTCATATGTACTTGCTTATGTGAAGACGACTGTCCCATGATGACCACTCTTTTCTGGGACCTTAGCTATGCCCGGGATGCCCTAAGAGTTCTGCTGAATTGCTCTGGACTACAGGATGTGGATACTGCTCTACAGAAAAAGAATTGCTGGAACCAGTTTTCCCAAGCCCTGTATCACCATCATGGGGTTTACCTCATTGCCAAGTAAGAACAGGGGCTCTGTGTAGGAGTTTTGGTCTCTACCCTACCTTGTCCATCTTTCAAGTAAACCATGTGAGAACACACTCAGCATCTTCTCCAGTTTCTAAAGCTCTCTTAATGATCTGATTGTAATTTGATTTCTATTTCTTCAATTATTTTGAAGGGTTTTATTTCAGGACATTTCCCCTCTCATTGTGCTCTTGCTTTTAAGAGGTAAACAAAAACCTGTGATTGATAGGTCAAATAAATTTTGGAAAATATAATGGAAGAAAGCTATTTGAAAGGGTTTTATTTCAGTTAGTCTTTCAGTGATTATCAAGATTCTGATTATAGGGATGATATATTCTGATCAAAAATCAAGATATAAGGCCTTGGCAACATGACGGACCATCTGAAGTTGTGAATGACTCAGAAAGTAGACAATATGGTGCATGGGCTCTTAGTGCTTTAAAAAATAACATCGGATTGTATATACATCCCAGGAATAAATCTTACTGTATGAAAGTGTAGTATATTTGCACCCATGAGAGGTCACTAGTCAAGGATTACGCTGTCCTTCATGCTTCTGGATCTTTTTACTCAAAGTGTGGTCTACAGACAACCATCAACAGCATCACTGGAGTCTGAAACTTCAGCTGTCATATTATGAAGTTCTCCATATGGATTTGCGTGCACATTATAGTTTTAGAAGACGAACTTAGAATCTCAAAACTGTCATATCACAATCTTGCTTCTAACAATCTGATCCAGGCAAGTGTGTCAGGAGAACTGTGAGCCTGGTATGTCTGGAACTACCCAAGTGTGTTAGTGCATCAGAGCTCACAGTCCCTTCTCCTGAGTCAGCCCAGTCGTTCTAAACTCGCTTCTTCATTTTACCACTCAAAGGCAGAGCTTGATCCCAAACCACAAGGTGATCCATCACCTGCATGGCTATCTGCATTGAGCTTTAGATATTTATTTCTTCTCTTGTTGGTCAAGGACTGTGTATGGCAAAGGATAAGGGAGACAGGAAAGAGAGGTGACAGTAAGGACAGAAATGTTGCAGGGATCTAGGCATATCTAATTCCCTGGAGTCTATATAAAATGCACAGTGAGACCACAGTTTACCTTAGATCACAAAATATTGGAAAATAACTTTTCTTTTTAATCTAGAAGATAAAAATATGAGGATGATGATTGTCTCTTTATCATTATCAGAACTGCAATGCAGTACACGTTTTCTTCTTGGTTAATTCAGTGCCTTGTTTTCCTTTACAGAACACTCAGTGATTGTAACTTTCCACAGTTTCCAGAGACCTTATATTATCTCTATAAGATGTCAGTGGAAGGTCCCAGAAGGTCAGAAGACAGTATCATCACCATAATATTCCTCACTGAAGTGAGTTTTAATGGGGAAATGTGAACAACTGTGGTCTTATACCCTTTCCTTACTTAATCACTTCAACGTCTCCTCTCCCTCTCTGAATATTTGTTCTCACCAAGAGAATTAAAGATACCTGAGGTTGGGAGTGGGGCAGGAAGGTGAATGAAACTGGGTCACAGAAAGGTTGCCTCCTTAACTTGCTCTAGGAGTCAGCTTTCAATTTCTGCTCAGGGGTGTGTATTTGCACAAACACGAATAATTTTTATAGTACCAGTACATATGTTTCTGTATGTTTGTTGTATGGGTTTACTAAACACAGTAAGTTGTCTGTGATATAGACAATATTTCAGGCTGTCTTGAGGGAAAAAAGGAATTGACCAAATAACTGAATAAAATGAAAATGTGGAACCCTATTGCAGCACATCTTGCAATGCCACAGTGGAGTCAAGCAAATTGAAAAAATCTTTTCACGTACAAAAATACAGGTTATATTTACACTGCTGGTGGGAATGTAAACTAGTACAACCACTCTGGAAAAAAAATTGGAGGCCTCTTAAAAATCTAAACATAGATCTACCATATCACCCAGCAATACCACTCTTGGGGATATACCCAAAAGAATGTGACACAGGTTACTCCAGAGGCATCTGCACACCCATGTTTATTGCAGCGCTATTCACAATAGCCAAGTTATGGAAACAGCCAAGATGTCCCACTACTGACTAATGGATTAAGAAAATATGGTATTTATACACAATGGAATTTTATGCAGCCATGAAGAAGAATGAAAAGTTATCATTCACAAGTAAATGAAAAGAACTGGAGAACATAATTCTGAGTGAGGTTAACCTGGCCCAAAAGACCACAAATCGTATGTTCTCCCTCATATGTGGACATTAGATTAAGGGCAAACACAACAAGGGGATTGGACTTTGATCACATGATAACATAAGAGCACACTTGGGAGGTATGAGGATAGGTAAGACACCCAAAAAACTAGATAGCAATTGTTGCCATCAATGCAGAGAAACTAATGCAGATACTTTAAAGCGACAGAGGCCAATAGGAGAAGGGAATCAGGAGCTAGAGAAAAGGTTAGTTTGAGAAGAATTAATTTAGAAGATAACACACATGCATAGGAAAGCAATGCAAGTCAATTCCCTGTATAGCTATCCTTATCTCAACTAGCAAAAACTCTTAGTCCTTCCTATTATTGCTTATACTCTCTCTTCAACAAAATTAGAGATAAGGGCAAAATAGTTTCTGCCTGGTAGTGAGGAGGTTGGGGGGGGTAAGGGAAGGGGGGAGAAATGACCCAAACATTGTATACACATATAAAAAAAATACAGGTTATATAAGTTGAAATTATTCAAGTCCAATAAAAGTAATATTATAATAGGCAAGCATTACTAAAAGAGGACATCCAATTGTCCAATTGTCAAACATCAAAATAGTCAATAAACTATAAAAGATACCTGTAAACTACATTGTCTACTTCTAAAGCTTTCTGAAGTATACATGAGTCAATTTTACTGAACAGTACAGTTTTCATATTGCTCAATTTAGATCTCTCACTAGTTTTATTTCGTGATTCATAGTTTTTATTGTAGTGCCACTTATGTATAAACATTAAACAAGCTGAAACATGACATATTAAGTTGCAATCCAGAAAAAATTTAAAATTACATAAGATTTGTATTAGTATCATTAATGTGACAGATGATGCTTAATGAAACCTAATTGCCTCTGTCATCATGAATATTAGTGCTTTCTGCTGAGACAGGTTGGCATGCCTGTTCTTCTTTGTACTCAATAATAACCACATTCTTCCATTTTGAGAATCTTTGACATGAAAAGATGTTGATTTTGTCAAATTTCTTTTCTTCATTTTTGAAATGATCATGTGAATTTTACCCTTTATCATGTTAATGTGATGTATCACATTTTAAGTTTACATATGTTGCACCATTCTTGCATCTCAGGGATAATTCCACTTGATCATGATAATTGAACTTTTAGTTTGCTGTTTTATATTTTCTTTATCCATTTATATGTTGGTGGACACAGGCTGGTTATCGTGAATAATGCTGCAATGAAGTCCTACTTGAGTTTTCTTTGGAGATCTATAGCTACATCTCTCTCTCTCTCTCTCTCTCTCTCTCTCTCTTTCTCTCTCTCTTCATATATATGTGTGTGTGTGAGTGTGTGTGTATAATATATATATATATACATATACTTATCCAAAGTAAAAAAGTAGAAAACACACATCTATGGAATTGTTGGATAATATGGTAGCTCTTCATTTGAGGAACCTTCTTACTGTTTTCCCTAATGTCTATACCAACTTATCTTCCCACCAACAGTATACAAGGGTTCCCTTTCCTCCTTACTCTTAACCAACACGTTTCTCTCTCTCTCTCTTTTTTAATAATAGTTAACCTAACAGGTCTGAGGTGATACCTCAATGTGTTTTTGCTTTGCATTTCTCTGAATATTAGTGATGTTCATCACCCTTTCATATACTGGTTGGCAATTTTTTTATATGTCTTCTTTGGAAAAATATCTAAGTTCTATGACTATTTTTTGTGTTATTTGCTTTTTCTTTGTATGAGTTCCCTATTTATTTTGGATATCAACTTTTAATCGGTTGTATAGTTTGAAAATAGTTTATCTAAATCCACAGATTGCCTTTTCATTTTGTTGTTTTCCTTTCTTTGCAGAAACTTTTTAGTTTGATGAACTCTTACCAAAAATAAATGGCAAGGCCAATTTCAGGAAGCTTTTCTTCTAGGAGTTTTCTTCTAGGGGTTTTAGGCTTTTATATTTCACATTTAAATTTTTAATCTGCTATGACTCTATTTTGTATAAGGAGCAAAATAAGGGTCCAATTTTATTCCTTTGCATGTGGATATCCAATTTTCTCAACAACATTTATTAAAGAGACTGTCCTTTCCCCCATTGTGTGTAATACCAAAGATTAGTGAACCATAACTAAACATTCCTGGGCTTTATATTCTGCTTCCTGATCTTTGTGTCTGTTTTCATGCTAGTACTGTTTTAACTACTATAGTTTTGTGATAAATTTTGAAATCAGGGAATGTGATGATCCAACTATATTCTCCTTTCTCAAGATTACTTTGGTTATTAAGGGTCATGTGTGGTTCCACATAAATTTTAGGATTGTTTTTAGAATTTTGGCAGACATTGCCCTGAGTCTATGGTTGACTTTAGGTGCTGTGGACACTTTAATAATGTCAATTTTTTTCATCTGCGAACATTGGATATCCTTCCACTGTGTGTAATTTTCATAGCTTTGAGCATACGGCTCTTTCACCACCTTAGTTAAGTTTATTCCTAAGTCTTTTACTTTCTAGAAGGTACTGTAGATGAGATTCTTTCCTGGATCTTTTTGGATACTTCATAGTTAGTGTATAGAACTGAAATTGTATGTTGATTTTGTGTCCTATAGCTTTACATAACTTATTTATTTACTTGTTCCAATAGCTTTTTTCATGACTCATTTAAGGTTTTCTAATATATAAGAGCATGCCATCTGCAAATAGAGATCATTTTACTTCTTCCTTTGTATTTGTAAGCATTTTATTTATTTTTTCTTGTCTGTATGCTCTATCTAGGATTTACAATAGGGTTGAATGAAAGTGACAAGAATTGGCATCTTTATCTTGTTCCTGATCTTAGAGGATAAACTTTCAACATTTTGCCAGTGAGCATGGTGCTCACTGCACACTTATTGGATATACTTTTGTTACACTGAGGTGCATTCCTGCTATACCTAAGTTCTTGAGAGTCTCTCACATGAAAGAAAGTTGACTTTGTCAAATTCTTTTTTCATCTGTTGAAACGATCATATTTTTATCCTTCATCTGTTAGAGTGATATATCACATTTTAAAATTTGCACATAGGACCATTCTTGCATCCCAGGAATAACATCACTTGATCATGGTACGTGATCTTTTATTATATTAGTCAATACTGCTAGTATTTGTTTGAAGAATTTTGCATCTATGTTTGTTGGAGATATTTTCCTGCTATTTTCCCATCTTGTAGTGTCCTTATCTTGCTTTGGTTTAAGGGCAATGTTGCCTCATAAAATGTGTTTGGAAATGCTTCCTACTCTTCAACTTTTTGGAAGGCTTATAAAGCTTTTATTAAAAGGATTGGCATAAATTCTGATACAAAACAGCTGACCAGGGTCCTTTTGCTCTGCCCAGTTATAAATCATGGGTAGGTGAGAAACTTTTCCAGCTATTCTGGGCCCTTGCAAGTATTTGGAAGTGGCGAAGAGGATGACTGTGGCAGAGTAGATGACAATGGGCAGGGGCCTTCGGCTCTGGGCCTTTGACATCTAGGGCGGTAGATGCCTCAGGGCTCTGATCCAGGAAGGTCTTTTTACTCCAAGTGAACTGAGGCCTTAAGCGTTACAGCTCTCCACAGCCCACTGGGATTCCCTACTGCCAGCCACTGCTTTTCTCTTCTTTTTCTTCCTGTTACCACCTCAGCAAAGGTAGGTAAGACCGCCAGATAGAACGTCTTTATTTGAACCTGATGTTGTAACACTGGTGGGGTGGAGGGCAGAAAGAAGGATGTCTCCTAATTGCTCACAAAGCGAGTTGAACAGCCTGCTTATGTAGCCAGAAGGGAGAGGGGATACTGGTGTCTGTACCAATCACACAGTCCCCTCAACTTGCTAAATTGAGTCTCTTATTAACGGCATATTTTGAGAATTTTTTAACCATTCAACCACTCTGTGTCTTTGATTGGTGAGCTTAATCCATTTACATTTAAAGTGATTATTGAGAGGTTGGCATTTCATTGTTTTTTCTTTTCTTTTTCGTTTTTTTAGTTCCCTCATTCTTTTCTTCCTCTCTTGCTGTTTTCCTTTACGACTTATTGGTTTCTTATAGTGGGATGTTTTTTCCTTTCTCATTTGCATATCTACAGGTTTTTTTGTGTGTATACGTGTGGTTATCAGCATAATATACAGTTATAGTTA